CCTGTTCTGCCGCATATTGTGTCTTATCGATTAGTTCTTCTCTCGTTTTTGCCATCGTCACTATAGCTAGATCATCCGCGTATGCCACTAGGTGTGTGCCTCTCTCTTTGTCAATTCTCAGAACCTGGTCATAAAAGATGTTCCACAGGGTTGGGCCCATTATAGATCCCTGCGGCACCCCGCAGCTGTTATTGTAGCTTTCCCCAGTGGATGAGATGATGCTTCTTTCTGATAAGTAGCTTTCAATGATTCTTATCAGATATCTACTTATCCCTCCTTTTTTCAGCGCCTCTACTATCTTATCCCAAGGAGCTGAGTTAAAGGCATTTTCGATATCTAAAAGAACCATACAACAGTGGTCTTGATTTTTAAGTGCCTTTCTGCGTATCACTTCGGCGAAACCTTTAATGCGATCTATCTATCCGTATTGGTCCCCATGCAGTATCTCCTTTTCCTCCAATTCCTCCTTGAGCCTGTTATTTACTAGTATCTTCAAAATTTTACCCGCCGTATTTATCAGACATACGGGTCTATAAGTTGGATCGTCTGCTGGAGCTTTCTTTGGCTTTTCCAGCAGCACCAGTCTGGATAACTTCCAGATTTTTGGGAAGTTTCCTTGCTCTAGGCATCTGTTGTACATCTTTAGTAGGGTCTGTTTACATTTTTTTATGCAGATTTTAATAATCTCTGGTGTTATACCGTCCGGGCCAGCCGCTTTTTTGTTTTTTAATTGCTTTCCTGCTATCTCCAATTCTTCTTCTGAGAAAGAGTTTATCTCCCCGGGATTTTCTTCTTCCCAGATGCAAATATCCCTTTTTGGGAATAGTTTATCTATTTGACTTTTTATGACGTCTGGGGGGATGACGTTGTTGTTTTTAAGTTTAAGCTTTCTTGTCACGATCTTGTATGCTTTCCCCCAGATGTCGTCATTCAGTTCCTCACAGAGCTCCTTCCATTTCTCCCTCTTCGCCTTTCCTATCTCTTTTTTTAGCTCTTTTTTTGCCTCCTTATACTCTGTATTTATCTCTATCCATGACATCTCCCCGTGGTTTGACTTCCCCATTCTGGTTTTTTTTCTTCTTAGATGTATGCAGATTTTCCTTTTTTCCGCTATTTTCTCGTTCCACCAGTATACTGGTGTGCGCCTGTTTTTGTGTGTAGTGATACTCCCGAAGTGTTTTTTACATCTTTCTTGGATTTTATCCATGACTTCTTCCGGTGTCACATCCGTTTCCTCAAACATATCTTGGCAGGCTGTTTCAAAGGCTTTTATGCTGGCACTGCTTACCTTGAATGTGCCATGGATCCAGTTTTCGGTATTCACTTTCGATGTGGTACTCTTTAGTGTGTAGAAGATTGATTGGTGGTCGCTCAAATTTTCCACTTCGTCTTCTACCTTCCATCCCCAGATCATGCTTGCCTGATCCTGTGTGGCTGCGGTGAAATCCACGATCGAGGTTCCCATTCCCCCTACGAACGTTGGTTTCTCCCCTTCATTTATCACTACCAGATCGTTTGACATTAGCCAGTCTTCTAGCATTCTTCCCCTAGCATTTGTTTGTTTCGAGCCGTCGCAACCTGTAATCCGTTTATTTGCATCCACCTATGTATTGTGTGCAGGGCCTCGTCTGCTGTACGCATCAGCTTATTTGTATCTTTGGCCGAGACCAGTACAGCTAGGTCGTCCGCATAACATATAAGCTGTACATTCTCGGGCACAGCAAGTCTCATAACCCCGTCGTATAGGATGTTCCACAGGGTGGGGCCCAGAACTGAGCCCTGTGGGACACCTCCTCCAATCTTTTTTTCGATGCCTCTGCTTATTAAAATATTCCTGTCCTTCAGGTAGTCCGCGATTATACGTATCAGATATTTGCCAATCCTTTTCTGTCTGAGGTTATATATTATTATAGGCCACTGGGCGGTATTAAATGCATTTTTAACGTCAATTAGTATGAGAGCATGATACTTCTTTCCTCTATCTGTTGCCGCCTTCTTTATTTCTTCGATTGCGTGTACTGTACACTTGCCCTTTATAAAGCCGAATTGGGTGGAGCTCAAGCCACCCTTACTATCTATTTCCTTGACAAGTCGGGATTTTATGAGGTTTTCAAATACCTTAGCCACTGCATTTATTAGGCATATCGGTCTATACCTTGTTATGTCGTTAAGTGTCTTCTTGGGCTTATCAATTAATATAAGTTTGGCCCGCTTCCACTCGGTGGGGAAGGTGCCGTGTGTTAGCAAGTTATTGTACAAGTCCAGGTAGTATTTAATGTTTAATTGAATCATTTGTTTGGTCACCTCTGGGGAAAGACCATCGGGACCCGGGGCCTTTATTGGTTTTAGTTTCGCAATCGCTTCTAGTAGCTCTTCCCTATTAAAAATATCACAGTTCGAGTTATCACAGATGCCTTCGTTATCACCGTTGTCTCCGAGGGTTATTTGTGGGTCTACGCTTGGAGGCATAAACAGACTGGTGAAAATTTCTGTCTTCTCCTCTGGGGTCGGCCACGTCCTCGGGCTAAGCTTCTTTAGTTGGGTTTTTGTGATTTTGTACGCCTGACCGAAAATGTCGTTTTCCAGGTCATCACATAGGCTTCTCCATGCTTGTTTCTTGGCCTTGCTTATTTCTTTTTTGAGTTCTTTTTTTGCTGTTTTATAGGCATTGTATAATCTTTCTCTCTGGTCTTGCGTTCTATTTCTTTGGTATGCCCTTCTTTTGCCCTTTACTTCTCTGATTTTGAACTCAATCTCCTCAGTCCACCAGTATGGCATTTGGTAATCATTCGGGCATCTTATTCTCGGGGTGCTTTTTTTGTACGCCGAGCTGACCATCCTGCTGTAGGATGCAATTTCCAGACGTCTCCTGCGCCTCTGTACTTCTTTCTTGAATTCGATATTCATCTTTTTGATGTCGGTGAATCCGTATTTGTACCTATGTGATACCTTTTGAGATATATCCTGTAGCTCGATCATGATAAAGTTGTGGTCACTTAGTGTCGGTTCGTCGAGGACAGTCCATTGTTTTATTATCTTTCTGGCTTGGGTACACACAGCGGTCAAATCAATATAGAAGGACCCATTCCATCTGACAAGTGTGGGCGATTTTCCGTCATTTAAGACGTACAGCTCCATTGCAAGGAGCCATTCTAACAGGGTATCGCCTCTCTTGTCTGTAACCGCTCCTCCCCAGTATATGTTTTTAGCGTTAAAGTCCCCAGTTACAATTGTTTTTTTCCTAGGCATACTATTTCGTATATCTGCTTCCACCTCGCTTAAGCAATCGGTAAAAGCCGCATGCGTTATGTTTGGGCTGATTATATACTGTAGATTATGTATTCTTCTGTTTCTACGCTTACGAACGAGTTCCCTTGTTTGTGTTTTGTGATTATTTGTTTTTTGGTATTTATAATGGCGACTGTGACATTTTCGTTGTAATATAATGCAGATCGCGATAAAATCGCATTTTTCCTGTGTACCCTTAAGGACGGACATGTCGTGGGCTGCAAGATTATTGTTTGTGTTTATTTGCAGTATCCTTAGCATGTTTCTAGATTTGGTTTTGGCTTTGACTTAGACTTTGGTTTTGGCTTTGGTTTATTATCACAGATTGGTCTTTGCTTTGGCATACATTTTTTGTATTGTCATCTTCTTTTATCACATTGTCTATCACAGGTTGTTTTCTTGCATTCCGTTGGAATCTTCTTTTGGTATTAAGTGCCTTCATGTACGTGGCGCATTTGCCTGTTCCGGCCTTGTGTCCAATTGTTTTGCATAGAGGGAATGCTTCCTCTTTGTCGCAATGTGTGGCCAGGTGATCCGCTGCCCCGCATCTATAGCATGGCTTGGATCTATCTGTGCCGTTGCAGTTGCCTTCTGAGTGATTGTAGCCCCAACATTTTCTGCACCTTTTGATATCTAACCGCTCTTCCATATGGCATTTGACTATGCCAATTAGGGTTCGCAATCTTGAAGAGAAAATATAATCCCGGGATTATGATATCCATATTTAACAATACCGGGAATACCGGGATTTCGAGATTGATATTAAAAGATAAAAGAATACAAAGCATAGTTATTAATTTTATTAATAAAAGAAAATTTAAACCAAAAAATATTTCTAGGTGTTCAGCGGCTAAACCAATACCGCAGAAAAATGAGTTCATTAAGGGTATTATCCCCAAGTCGGGATCTAAATTTTGTACATAGGGTCTGCTGCCGAAAACGCCCTTTCAGACTCCACACTAGTGGGGACATTAAGAAATCACATTTCAGTTTGAGGAATGCATCCCTGCTTCCGCCACTTTCAAAAATCGACATTTCTTTTTTTAGAGTTGATGTTACCGAATCGGTTTGAGGGTGCATTTTTATTGGGTTCATTGCGTTTTTTGTCAATGATTTAAAAAATTGTTTGTTTTAATTTGAGGCTGGAGTAGTAGCATGGCTGAAAGATAAATTTTATCCTCGTCATTGTCTTCTTAAAAAGAAACATTTAGTTTTTTTGTAAACATTGTAAGTTTTTTAAGCATTTCCCTAATATTTTTTTTGTATAGAATATCGAACAGAGCATCTGATTCTTTATAATTGGGATTGTGCAAATAGCGGATAATACCTGAGCAATAAGTTCTGCGCTGAGCAATCCTTACCCTTAGGGCTTCATATAAGTTGGCACTTAGGGAAGTGTTCAACATAAATTTAAATACTAAAAATACCGGGATCATGATTTGTGATCCCGGTATTTTCGGTATTGAAAAACAGACGAGATCCTGGTATTTTCGGTTTTGGGATTTCGGGATTGCGAACCCTAATGCCAATCCTAATTTTTTCGTGTCTCATTAACTCTTCGGCTTTTTCTCCACTGAGGTATAGTAAGACTGCCTGCGTGTTGTTCGCATTAGGTCTAAATTCTCCCAGTTTATATTCTTTCTCTTCTATTTTCCCAAGCCTATTCGCTAGGGCCTCTATCACCTCCTCCCTGGTCGTTACCTCGTCCATACCTTTTATATGTATAGTCCGGGGAAGCGCCGGCTTTAGTCCTTTAATACTGGTAAATGCATCGCCCATGTGGTCTTTTATCATTCTTTGGAGGGCTTTGGTCTTCTCCTCCTTCCTATCTGTCACTATCATAACCGAACCATCCTTTGTTCTCCTAAATGTCCTTATAATGTCTTTTGTACCTTTGTCCTTGACTGCGTTTTTAATATAAAGTAGCGTGTCTTTGTAATCTTGAACTTTTTTGCCAACGATTATTGCATATGTATATTTTGTCCGTGTTTCTCTGTTTCCTTGGATTACTGCGTTTGTCTCTTGCTGCTTTTGTCGCGTGGTGTATATTATAATCTTTCTTTTTGTGCCATGAAAAATAGCCTCTGTGATTTTTTGTAGCTTAGCGAGACTTACCATGTTCAGGTGGTGCATCGCTAGGCAGCTTTCATCTTCCGTATCTACCTTGAGCCTACATAGTTTTTCCCATATGTCTTTGTTGTCATCCGTTGTCTTTATCTTGAAGACCTCTTGTTCTTCCTTGCTAACCTCTTCCATGTCCGTTCTGATCTTAGTCACTCGGTGTAGAGAGCCATAGTCTTGTTTCATCTCCCCCAATTCTGGGTATTTGTTTTTGTATATTTTTTGGATGCTCTCCGTCATCTCGTCGCGGGGTTCGATCAGTACAACTTTTATGGTAGACTCCTTGCATGTTGTGGGGTCCCCAGTCCTTATCTCCGTGTTTTTGAACAGTGTTTCTGCCCATGGTCTGTCTTCGATTTTAGTGAAATCCTCGTAGGACATTTTCTCTGCGAGTATCTCTATGGGATGATCTAGTACTATACTGTGTTGACTTTTTATTATGTCATTCTTCAGCCTCTCTAACTCTTCTAGGTGTTCTGCTTCCCTTTTCCTTTGCAAGGCCTCCAGCCTTTGGATTTCATTAATGTATCCTCGTTCTTTTTCTATTTCTAGGGTCCTATCTATTTTATAGTCTTGGATGACACTATTTAGTAGACAGTCTCACACCTGACCATGCCTATCCTGATGTGCCCTGTGTCCGCCAGCAATGTTTTAACCTAACCCAACCCAACCCAACCCGTCTGTTGGACTAGCAACAGGAGAGTGTGGGGATCGAGCACTCATACCCACTAAAAACCCCCCTCTCTTCGTGGGGAATCCTGCTGGGGACTGTCTCTCGACATAACTTCCAGCAGGCCACGGCATATACGTAGCTCCTCCGGTTGTCATTTGCCGTTACGCGCCCTGACCACAGGGTCTTTTCTCACGAGCATGCTTTCGCACAGTTTGTCCACAGCCGTCCATCCCTCTGTCCCACTCAACATTATTCTTGTTAGGTTCCCTACGCCCAGCATCTCACCTACTGCCATCTCTGCCGCCAGCCTCTCGGACCTCGCTATGCCTATTAGGACTGCTCTCTGAGACTGGTTTAGTCTCATCCTCACTTTCCTCAGCCTGATCGCGTCAGCCCATACAGGGGCTCCGTAGAGTGCCACCGACTGGTGGACGAAAGCGAGTAGCCTTCGCGCTGTCCCCCGCGCCACCCATTCTGGGCATGATGCTACGGATACTCTGTGCCGTTGTCTCCGCTTTGCGGCACGTTTCCTCGACGTGTCTCACCCATGTTTCACAGCTGTCCAACCATATGCCCAGATATTTGATGCTTGCCTCTAGTTCGAGGGCCTCCCCCAAGGCGTCGATCGTGCGTGCTCCCTGCGTCTTGCGTCGGCCGATGAGCAGGGCTGCTTTGGTTTTTTGGGCGGCTATTTCCAGCCCTTTCTCCCCCATCCAGGTGTTAATAAGTCCTATCGCTTGTCCCGCCCTAGCTCTCGCTTCGTCCAGGTCCTTGCCGATGGCGACCATGTCGTCGGCGTAGGCAATCGTTCGACAATCACGCGGCAGTTGCAGTCTGAGGACTCCATCGTAAACGATGTTCCATAGTAGGGGGCCCAGGACGGATCCCTGGGGCACCCCGGCTGTCATTGCTCTCGTCCCTCCGCCTATCTCCAGCTCCCACTCCTGCAGGTAGTCCATAATTAACGCCACGAGATGGCTTTCCACTTGTTTCCTTTGCAGTTTCGCGACTATTTCCGTCCACCTTATCGTGTTAAACGCATTGCGGACGTCAATAGCCGCTACAATACATATCTCCCTGCTCCTCCAGTTGCCCTCTTTCGCAGAACGCACCATCCTGAAGACCTCTGGTACAGCATCAGTGGTGAAGTGTTTTGCACGGAACCCATATTGATGCTCGTTCAGCTCACAACTGTTCTGCTGGAGTAACTCGACCAGGCGGGCGTGGATCACCCTCTCGAAAACCTTTCCGAGGTTTTCCAGGAGGCAAATCGGACGTGCCCCCCCTCCTCTTCCGGATTTTTCCCTGCCTTCGGTATCAGGACAACCCTGGCCTTCTTCCACTGTTTCGGGAATGTGCTTTCCTCCATTAAGCGGCTATACAGGCGTAGTCCAATGCCGCGACTTTTACGGCCTTAGTGGGGATCCCGTCGGGGCCCGGTGCCTTCTTGTTCTTCATCTTGAAGATTGCCGCCTCGACCTCGGTTTTGCTGACCGCATTCCCCGGCTCCCACTCAAATACCGGCTTGTCCCACACCGAGACCGGGTGGACTGGGAACAGTTGTTCTGCGATCCTGTTTTTTTTGTTCGCTAGAGAGCATAGGGGCCGCAAGCCTGCCTAACCTTTTGCAGACAAGCTGGTAAGCCGTGCCCCATACGTCGTTCTCGATTTGCAGCCCAAGGTCCCTCCTCGCTTCTGCCAGCATCTCTACGGCCGAAGTGTCGAAGTGTCCCTAAAACCTGCTCTTATAACTACTCCCGTATCTATCTTGTGGACAGCTCTATTTGTTCTACCCGGCCTGCTTCCATCTTTCCACGAAATATCTTGACATTTGTTGACCACTACTTGTAATTTCCTTAGTTGCTTCTCGCTAAGTCCCTCTCTAGACATAGTAGGTCACTTTTGTTTCTCCAACATAAATTGACCTACTATGATAGTTGACAGATACATATTTTGAAATTTTCGCAAAAATCGGATCTCAGAATTAGTTTGTGACTTAATGAATGTACTTACACCTTAATAATTTTAACAACCCCTTCCACTTTTATCGGTAAACTTAAATAGCCTTTTATTTCCTGTCTCTTTCCGTCAGCGGTACAGATAATTATACCTGGGCTATCAGAAACATGTAATTGGTATCGGTCTATCAAGTATACTCCTCTACTTCCCAGCACCGAATGACCAATAAAGCTATCACTTTTTCCCCAAAAATTTCAGCTTCGAGGTAGGGCCGATTGTCGCCAGGTCTCTTGACAAACAGAGCATTGGTAGATTCTTTCGGTCAGTGCTTACAGAAATTTCAAACATGTTGGCACCAATCATTTCATTTGGCAGCAGAGGTTGTGGGATTTTTTTTTACTTGGAAATGCCGTTTAAGGCGGAACTCCCGGCATTCAGGTTTTTTGAGCATTTGGGCCAGTTTGGTCTAATCACTCATGGCTTTCCGCATTCATGACAGACCAACTTCTTTCGGTACCTTGACTTGCAGTCCCTCTTCATGTGTCCTCCATTACATTTAAAACATCTAAATTTATCTATAGCAGCTACTCCTCTACTGACTTCTACTTCCCTGGTTAAAAATGCTTGTCGTCCTGGGGCTCTCCAAACTAATGTTTTTCGTGAATCAGAAACCAAGCCAATTTTTGTTTCATCAGAGAAAATCACGTTAGGATCATGATCTACAATTTCTTGAACCCATTGCAACCTTACAATTTTGTGTTGATAGGTTAGTTTGGGAACATGTAAGGGTCTTCTGCTATGCACGGTTTCTTCGAGCTACCAATGTTATCTGCCGATCTTGTGCTGTTGTTGTACACCGATTTCTACCACTTCTGGGGCAATCCTTCACGTCATTTGTGTCTTGGAATTTTTTATGAATTTTTGAGTAACGCCAACAATATTCGCAATTTCACTTTGAGTAAAGCCCTCTTGTAACAAAGCAATTACTCTTGATCTTTTAAAATAAGATATCATGTTTCTAGGCCCTTTTAAAAGGATCGAATAAAATTTTAACAAAAACTGAAATAATGTGTAAATACCAATATCAGCGGAGTGAAAAAATTGATACAAAATAAACAAAACAATTTTTTATCATTTTCATTTAAAAAACTGAACTGAACACTGAACCATTTTTAAAAACAAAAAAAAAATATTTGACTGAAATATTTTTAAATTCATTTCAATTTTTTCCCATTTTTTTCTGCCAGTGTGCGTTTTTTTATCCTTTTTTCTTTTAAAATTTTTTATTAATTTAATCTTGTTTTACAATAGGTTTGCCATTCCAGCCTTATTTCTTTTAAAATATCGGCCTTTAAAACTTTGTAGTTTTTTCGTTTTTGTTTTGGCTTATTTTGTATCGATTTTCCTTTTCTTTTAAAGTTGATGCCTGTGATTCTTACTTTAAGTAGTTGGTTATCTGATTTATTGATTTGTTTGGCCCGAGAAACAAAATCCTTTCTGCCCCGGCCAGTTTTTTTATTATTATCACGATATTTTTTTTAAATTCATGGATTCTCACAATTGCTGGTACTTACATTATACCCAGTAGTTGCAAATCTATTGCTTCAAATTTTTTTTTAATTATTAATTTTTAAACACTCTACTTTGATCCTATATTTCTTATACAGGTCCAAAAATGTTAATGTGATGTCAGGCTAATGCTCAGGCTCACCTTTAGCAGTTATTTAAAAATTAAAATCAATTGAAAACAAATAAATCAATGATACAAAATACTGTTTTAAGAATGTACTTTAGCGACTTACCGCGGGCTTTACAGAATAGGGAGAATAGGAATAGCCGTGCTCACTTGACATTTTGGACAAACCCTTATGTTCTGTGGACAAAGCCAACAAACAGAAACATAATAATAAAACAAATAAGAACCAAAACTCTGATAGAAACAGAAATATTATTATAAATTATAATTTATAATACCTACAAACTAACAAAAACACTAAACATAAACTTAAATGTCTTCTGTAAAATCCTAAAGAAGGGTAAAATATGGATTAAACAGTAACGGAGGTGCATGTGTTGCCATTATTTTCTATGAATCGGATGATGCTGAAAAGTTTTAAATGTAAATGTTCAGAAACAAAATCAAAGTGATTTTCCATTAACAGATGTAATGCACTCATCCTAAATCACCCTGTATATAAACATGAAAAATGTGTTAAACTTAAAACTACTAATATCTACTATCTTCTATTGAGACATTTAACAGCCGGAAATTGTTTTCGACTTTTGATTTTTGGTGATTTGGGTTTTATCTAAAACCTTCCTTAGGCCCCTTATCTTCTTGTTCTTTAAAAAGCTTAGTGTATAACCTACCAAAAATCCTCAAATGTACTCTCAAATCATATTTTTTTTTTCAAGATTCCAATTCGAAAAATTTGAAAACCGTTTCAAGGTAAGAAATATTACTTTTTTTACAAACGGGGCTTTTTTTATAAACAGGATGAAGTTATTGAATTTTTTTACCGTTTTAGATATCACCCTGTCGGAAATTGAGCTTCATATCTATAGCATGAATTGCCAGAGGATAAGGCTAGCAGACATAACAGAAAAATCGTTCATGAAACAAAAAAGTTATGTTGATTTGAAAAAGGACAAACTTTTTGGTCGCGACCAATAATTCTTAAAGCTTTTTTTAAATAAATCGCACAAGAATTTTTTTTAGCAATTTTAGGAATAAAAAAGTGCATAAAAAGTTACTTTACTTGCGTTATCTTCTTTAATCTAACCATGAAGTTCAACACTTTTTTTTTAACTAAGGATGTCTTGATTCCGCTCAGGGCGTCTCTTTAGGTATAGTCGTTAAATATTAATAATATTAATAATAATAATATGACTTTATTGCAAGTAAATAATAAACATTTACATATAGTAAAAAATACATTTAAATGCAAATGGCGAAGTTCAGTATGTGGGTCAGTCGCCATT